TTACTTCCTGCCACCCCAGGGAAGGGAACACGGAGCCCTTCAGCCAGGACCTCTGCCCATGAGCCAGAGGCAGGCCCTGTGGCTCCCCAGTCTCACTTTCTGCTTGTGTCTGGTTCGCAAAGAGGTCTCCCTCACTCGGATCTTGACGAGATCTTTCGGGGTCTTTCTCCTTTTGTGTTCATTCACGGCTATTGTACATCTGAAGCATGGAGTCACTTTGCCGTAGGACTGTACGTCTGTCTGTCTTAAGCTACTTTTCCGGGCTTCCCTTCCATCCTCCCTCTGTGCACCCAAGCAAAGGCAGATCTCAACTGATTGAGCCACCCAGGAGCGCAAGACTTCCTATTTTTTTTTCCCCAATAGATAAATTTCATTGCATTTAAACAATATCTCACATAGGTCTTGGAACTCATTTGGCATCTTGTTACTCTAGGTGGAAAACCTCAGATCTTCTTGAGTTCCTTTTTCAAAGACAGACATCATCTAAAATTTTCTCATGTCCTTGGGATTAACTGTTGTAGCTTGCTGAATCAAAGAAGGTGAATTTGTACAAGTTCAATGCCAGTTACTTTCTGGGCTTGGGACAGGGACCGAGAAACACCTGGCCTCATTTGAACCAGCAAATGGATTTTTTTTCATCCAAGAATTTTCAGATTTTAACAAGAGAACTGCTCTCCATAATAAAGGCATAAATGGGGGAAATGAGCATACACAGACCTCACCCTAATGGAAACCCAGTGGAACACTCTTGCTCATGTGCTATATTTGACTACCGACCACATGAACGGTCACCAGTTCCTCTCTGTTTGTCAATCCAGAGCCTCTCACTTTCCTTCCAAGGAAGCTGATTTCTACACAGATGACATCCCTCCACAGGAGTCTTCTGGGGTTTTCACGATAACTGTCCCATCAGAGGGATGACATTTTCTAAAATGTGGGCAGTCTGGTTACTGAAAATGTCTTCATTCTCACAGTGGATTCAGCAAAGAGAGCATCCTAATGTTTATTTTTTTAAAAAACACTTTCATTGAGATATAATTAAAATACCTCATAATTCATCCACTTACAGTGTACAATGCAATAGTTTTTAGTATATTCCCAGGTGTGTGTGACCATTATTGTGATTGAGTTTGGAACAAATTTTTTTTTTAAGTTTGGAACATTTTCATCACCTTAAAAGAAAACTCTATGCTCTTTGCTTTCTACCCTTCTGTCCCACCAATCTAGTCCTAAGCAACTACTAATCTATTTTTTGTCTCCGTAAATTTGGCTATTCCAGGTGTTTTACATAAAGGGAATTATGTATGTGGTCTTTTGCCTCTTAATGTTTTAAAATATGTGTGTTTATACTGTAATCCTGCTTTGAGAAAATCAAAATTTAAAATTAAAAGCTCTGTGACATCATACATTTTTTTCAAGATTAGCAGAACATTACAGCAAATACAGAATTAAATTTTCTCCTCCCATCCTTGAAAAAGTGCCCAGAGGCATTTTTTTTTCTTTAAGAGTTCACTCCAGTTGTGAGGAATTGGGCGCCTGGGTGGCTGAGTCAGTTAAGCACCTGCCTTTGGTTCAGGTTGTGATCTCAGGGTCCTGGGATCGAGTCCTCTGTTGGTCTCCACACTCACTGTGAAGTCTGCTTCTCCCTCTTCCTCTGTCCCTCCCTCTGCCTGTGCTCTCATGCTTGCTCTCTCTCAGATAAATAATATCTCTTAAAAATATGTTACTATTGGGGAGCCTGGGTGGCTCAGTGGGTTAAGCCTCTGCCTTCGGCTCAGGTCATGATCTCAGGATCCTGGGATCGAGCCCCACATCAGGCTCTGCTCAGCAGAGAGCCTGCTTCCCCCTCTCTCTCTGCCTGCCCCTCTGCCTACTTGTGCTCTCTCTCTGTCAAATAAATAAATAAAATCTTTTAAAAAATATGTTACTATTACTTTTTTTTATTTTTTTATTTGATGGACAGAGATCACAAGTAGGCTGAGAGACAGGCAGAGAGAGAGAGGAGGAAGCAGGCTCCCTGCTGAGCAGAGAGCCCAATGCAGGGCTCGATCCCAGGACCCTGGGATCATGACCTGAGCTGAACGTAGAGGCTTTAACCCACTGAGCCACCCAGGCACCCGTTACTATTACTTTTAAAACTGTGGGGTATTGTATTTAATTTTTTAAAAAGGATTCCTGGGGCACCTGAGTGGCTCAGTCATTAAGCGTTTGCCTTCAGCTCAGGTCATGATCCCAAGGTCCTGGGATTGAGCCACTCTTCAGGCTCCCTGCTCAGCAGGAAGTCTGCTTCTCCCTCTGCCCCTCCGCTCTGCTCTTGCTCTCTCTCTCTCAACTAAATAAATAAAATTTTAAAAGTAAGGGATTTCTTGAAGGAATGGTCAGCACTGTCTAGAACATCAGAGAGGTCAAGTAAGACTGAAGGGAATTTAGTTATTAAGAGGTTTTTGTTAAACTTGTACATTCTTCGTGGCACCATCCATAATATCCAAAAAGTGGAAACTATCCAAATGTCAATCACTAATCATTAAACAAAATATGGTATGTGCATATAATTGATTATTATTCAGCCATAAAAAGGAATGAAATTCTGATACATGCTACAATGTGGATGAACCTTGAAAACATTATTCTGAGTGAAAGAAGCCATGTGCCATGAAAGGCCACATATTATACGATTCCATGTATATGAAATATCAAGTAGACAAGCCCACAGAGACAGAAAGTAGATTAGTGGTTTCCAGGGTCTTGGGGGAGATGTTCACATCAGGTTGGGAGGTTGAAGAAGATGTGAAAGCTTCAGTTTAGTTGTCATGGTGGAGGTAAGGGAAAGCTGAACAAGGACAAGTAAAAAGCTGAATGTTTGGCAAACTAAAATTATAGGCCCAGTCTTGCACATTCAGACAGCCACAGGAGTTGGTAAGAGATGGGGGTTACTGAGAACAAGGTGTTAAGTGTGTAGAATTTCTGTATGTAATGTGGTGGCTGGTGGTGAGCAGAATGCTGGTGAGCCTACTGGTGAGGCTGGAAGAATGAGAAAGCTATCAAGAAAGGGAAGAACATGAATCCCACAAAATCTCAGCAAACTTAAAGCATTCAGCAGAGCATTTGACCCATGTAGAAAGCTCTTATTTGTTTAAAATAATAGTCATTTGAGCACTGGTGGTGTCAGTGATGAATCACTGAATTCTATTCCTGAAGCCAAGATTGTACTATATGTTAACTAACTAGAATTTAAATAAAAACTTAAAAAGTAAAATATGATAATAGTGGATTATTTTAGAGGGATATCAGTTTTTTTGAGGTATAATCCACATATCATGCAATTCATCCCTCTATATTGGTCAACTACTTTTTGACTAGGGTGCCAAGATGACTTAATTGGGTATAAACAATCTTTTCAACAAATGGTACTGAGACAAACAGATTTTCTTATGGGAAGAATGAAGTTGGACCTTTTCCTTACACTATATACAAAAATTAACTCACATCCTAGTGGGAATGAAGTGATATTTCATTTTGATTTTGATTTGCATTTCCCTAATGATCAATCATGTTGAACATTGTTTAGTGTGCCTATTGGCCATTTTTATATGTTCTTTGGAGAAATATTTATCCAGATATTTTGCCCATTTTCAATTTAATTAAATAAAATTTAAAATAGTATACAATTCATTGTTTAGTTGTAAAAGTTCATTTATATTCTGGATACTAGACCTTTATCAGGTATATGATTTACAAATATTTTCTCCCATTCTATGAATGTCTTTTACTTCCTTTGAAACACAAAAGTTTCTTGTGGGCTTCTTTTTGGATGATGAAGTGTTCTAAAACTTGTTGTGGTGATGCCCACACAATTCTGTGAACACACTAAAAGTCACTAAACTGAACCCATAAAAGGGTATGTCTTGGGGTGCCTAGTTAAACGACCAATTCTTGGTTTCAGCTCAGGTCATGATCTCATGGGTTGTGAAATGGAGCCCCATCTGGGGCTCCATGCTCAGCAGGAAGTCTGCTTGAAAATTTTCTCCCTCTGCCCCTCCCCACAAGCATCCACACATGTGCTCTCTTTCTCTCTAAAATAATTTTTTAAAAAGGGTGTATCTTGTGGCATGTGAATTACATCTCAATAAAACTATTATTTTTTTAAAAAGGAATGAGGGGCACCTGGGTGGCTCAGTTATTAAGTGTCTGCCTTCAGCTTAGGTCATGATCCTAGGGTCCTGGGATGGAGCCCCACAAGGGGCTCCCAGAGCCTGTTTCTCCCTCTCTCTGTATCCCTCCACCCTGCTTGTACTCTCTCTCTCTCTCACTATCTCTCTTTCAAATAAATAAATAAAATCTTTAAAAAAAAAAAAAGAAGAAGAAGAACATACCTCTGGAGTTTTGTTGACTTTGAGTCTACCAGTTTTGCGGTAGGTGTCAGTGCAATTTTGGTTATTCAATAGGACAGTAATCAAATATTCTGGACATAATTGGCTGCTAAACTCACAACCATCCATCCCCCCCAAGCCCCCCAACCCCCAGTTTATAGACCTTGATTTTGTTCAGAAGACAGCAGGCCTAGTGAAGGCCTGCCCCAAGCCCCAAGGGATGGTGGAAGTATAGTACAAAAGCCAGTAAGACAAGCTCATTCCTTTTGCCAGGAGCTTGCTTTCTCATCATCCCTTAAAGCTGAGAGTATGGAATAGAGATAAATTGAGGTAAGGACTGTGAAGCAAAAAGAAACCAGGACTTGATAATTTGGGAAATTCTCAGGCTATCCAGATTTCAAAAGATGTTAAAATTAGGAGAAGCACTGTCAGAAAGCATGGGTTGGAGAGAGAGGCTAGGTTGTGGTCGGACAACCTTTTGCTAGTGCCTGGAAGAGATCAAAAGCTCCGAGTACGTTGTTGTTGGGAGCGCTCTGTGCAGGACCAGGGCTCCCCTCAGCTCTCTCAGCAGAAGCCAGGAATAGAAATGGCATTATCTCGAAGGATCTGTAGAGGAATCTCTTGACTCACCAAGGGAACCCCGTGACATTCATAGGAGACCGGCCAAGCTCTTAAGGGTATTATGTCAGCAGAAACACTGCTGGCAAGGACAAGTGGAAGGGAGAGGAGGACACTGAAGAAGGCTTTCCGAGTATCCTCAAAACTGGACAAGCAGGAAACAGGCCGATATGATCACGTGTCACTCAGCTGTAAAGATGTGCTGCCCTTGGTGGTGGTGGGGGAGGGGGGCTGATGGCTCTGCGGGGCGGTGGGGGGGGTGGTGCAGGTCCGGAGGGCGGAGGGAGGATTGCAGGAATCCTTTATTTTTCAGAAGTTTGCCTTATGCCACTTCCCCTTTATGAGAGCTCTACATAAGCACCCGTTTTCACTAACCAAAAGGAATCCGAAGATTTTTGCTTTAAAAAAGTCAAGAAAGCAAAATCGGCGTTGTTTAGCCGCGAGCCTTCCTAGCGGCCGCGCGCACCCCCGGCCGCGAGGGCGGCGCCACCTAGCGTCTTGCCCGGGAACCACACCCGGCCTCCCGGCGTCCCGCCACCAAGAGCTTCGAACACCTGTGCTTCAGCTTGAGTTGTTTTGTGCATCTAAGCAAAACGCGTCGGAAGGTACAAGGACAGCCCAGGAGAGGTTCTGGGGATGCTCAAAATGTTCCCATATTAAATTAACGATAATTGCTTTTTTACTTTATACCATTTTGGCTTGTAAAAACTTTCAAAGGAACACTGTACTTTCAGACACCAGGGAAACCTGTATTCCCGGGCCTTGAAACCTAGTGGAATTTCCTAGGTTGGATTTCAAAATTGCTTGGAACCAGGGATTCCTTTTTCCCTTCCGTTTTCTTCCTTTTAAAACTGAAATCCTTGGGGCACCTGGGTGGCTCAGTCTGTTAAGTGTCCTACTCTTGATTTTGGCTCAGGTCACGACCTCAAGATCCTGCGATCGAGGCCCATATGGGACTCTATGGTCAGTGCAGAGTCTTCTTCTCCCTCTCCCTTTGCTCCTCGCCCCTCCCCACCCCACTTGTGCTGTCTAAAATAAATAAATAAAGTCTTTAAAAATATATAAATTGAGGGGCGCCTGGGTGGCTCAGTAGGTTAAACCTCTGCCTTCGGTCCTGGGATCCAGCCCCGCACCGGGCTCTCTGCTCAGCAGGGAGCCTGCTTCCTCCTCTCTCTCTGCCTGCCTCCCTGCCTACTTGTGATCTCTCTCTGTCAAATAAATAAAAATCTTTTAAAAAAATACATAAATTGAAATGCCTCTAAGTGTCATCCTATGCCTAGACAGACCCTGCATTCTGGGATTATATCATTTGTTTGGGTGAACCCTAATCCACACCACAGTCACATGAGAGTCTCAGGTTCATGGATAAGAAGGAATTTTGCCCCCGGAGGATCATATCCAGTCTCTCATACCTAATTCAGATGATTTAGATAATGAGATGTGGGACTTCTGAGCTGACAAGATTTAGAACTTGTGCTGATGTTTAAGGGGCTAAAACTTTGGCGAGGGGTGGGGTGTCATGGGATGGAGTGAATGTGTGGCCCGTGGATGGATTATTAGTCTTTGAGAGCCAGACAACAAAATATAGTAAACTGAACAATGATCCCCCAAACTTGTGAATATGTTACCTAACATGGTAAAAGGAACTTTGCAGATGTGATTAAGTCAAGGATCTTGAGATGAAGCGATTATCTTGCTTTATCCAGGTGGATCCAGTGTAATCACATGGGTCTTTATAAGAGGGGGGCAGAAAGGTCAGTCAGAGGATGTAACAAAGGAAGCAAAGGGATTTGAAGATTTGTACCATTGGCCTCAGAGATGAAGGAAAGGGCCACAAGCCAACGAATGCAGATGGCTTCTAGAAACTGGGAGAGGCAAAGAAATAGATTCTCCCAAATGCTTGTTGTCACTTGATTCTGTCTCAGTATAAACGCATTTCAGACTCTAACCTCAACAATTATTAGATAATGTTTATGCTGTTTTATTCCACTATGAGGGTAATTTGTTACAGCAGCAATGGGAACCAGTCCGAAGTCCTACTTTGGTGTAAATTGTTGGCAGAATGGAAAGAGGCAGACAAGGGGAGTAACTCAATCACGTATGGGCAGTCTGGAGAAAAGCCATACAAACTCTTGCTCTCCCTGACCCAGGAGAGGCTCATTCCTCTGGTCAGGTTGGAGGGCATGTGGCTGGGCTCACAGGTGGGAAGCCCTGGGGGGCTGATTCCAGTTAAGGAGAAACTTTTGATAGGATTGTCTGAGAACAGAGTTCCCACTCAGGTTGCGGTGTGTCCTACTGATGGAGGTGTAGGGCAGGAACTGCTCCCTGTGTCGTATGCGTTCCGTATGCATTCCAGTCATTATTAAAATAATTAAAATCCTGTCTGTTGTTTGATGTACATTAGTCCCTCCTTCATTTCTGAGACTAGATATTAAACCTTCTCAGGTCTAATTAGATCAGCACTTTGACTCTAATGTGTACAACCAGTATCTGGGGGGTTTGTTAAAATGCAGATTCTAGATCAGGTCAAGCTGGGACCTGGGAGAGATGGTGACCTGTGGTGACTTTAGGTAACAAGATTCTAGAGATCAGTGATTCTCAAACCTGAACGTGCATCAGAATCACCTGAAGGCCTAGCTGCGCCCCCACCTAGAATCTGATTTCGTAGGTCTCAAGCCTCAGAGTTCGCATTTTTTAACAAACTCCCAAATGAGGAGGAGGAATTGAAAGAGGAACCACACTTGGGGAGCCAACATTCTGTGAGCCATGGCTTTGGCCCCTTTTGGAATGCGGTGTGGTGTCCGCACTGCTGAAGTTTTAACTGTTCAGTTTACAAACTGTTTCCATTGCTCCCAAGAAACACTTGGGAGGGGTTATTCATTCTTCCTTGGGTTTAGCTCTGTTGTTAATGAAACATAAATGTCAGACATTTCTTATGAGGATTTTGGTGACATCCATGTAGAAGAGGTCTCTCTGCTGGCCTCTTCTGGGACTCACTGCTATTGAACATTTACTGTGTGCCAGACCTGGCCTCGGGCCCTTGCAGAGTAAAGGTAAGTCCTTGACCGCAACCGGGGGGGGGGGGGGCAGCCCCCCCACCCCTTGCACACTGCCTGTCTGTGGACCTCGTGATCTGCGCCGGGACCATTCATTACCCTCCAGGGTGAAGGAGACGCCTCCAACGTATATGAAGCTCACCCAGTGCCTGGCATCGCACACTAGCTGGCCGAGTGACTCTAATGTACCATCCCCCCCACGGGGCCCCACGACAGGTGCCGCTGACTGTTCAGGGAAGGGTGGGTCAAGCAAGGGGAGAAGGCGAGCAGGGGAGCCAGGAGGACACTGGAGGAAAGGATAATGAACAGGGACTGGCTGAGTTCCCCAAGCCTGTCAGGCACCATCAAGGCTCCAAGGAGGCCAGTGCCTCCGGCGGACTCTGGAGGCAGGAGGTTACTGTGGCCGCCCGTTCTGCAGGGTTGGGGGGCCTGAGCTGGGTGGAGGCTCCAATAAAGGCCGCCCCCTCTGCTCCTTCCCCATCTGTGCCTCCTGCCATCCTGGTCCATTTTCTCTGCTGCCTTGATGGCCCCACTGTCCACCCAAGAGACCCTTGAGAGCCTGCGGCTGAGGGAGTCAGGCAGGGCAGGGAACAAGCAGCGGCCTCCCGTGAGGCCGGCTTTATTGGGGTGTGTGGCGGC